CACTGAAGTTAGTTTTAGGACTTTTCTGCTTTAATTGAAACCTAAAGCACCAAAATACGTGGACATAGAATTGGAGGACCTCAATTGCAAAATAAATTTTTTTTTTTGTCCTCATCTTCTCCGTCTATGGTAAATGCCTCGTGCTTTCGAGCTCTCATCCATTTCAAAGGAAATATGAAGCCATGGCTCGCGACGATCTTGGCATGCCATGTGGTCGGGATCTCTCAGTTGTTGAAGAAAAATTAGTTGCAGCAATAAAGGTATTTAAAGATCAAAGGTTAAGTAGCAGTAAGCATTTTGGGGAAGAGGTGAAAACCAATTGTTCAAAAGAGTTCATGGATGCTCTGCAAACGTTGAGCTCAAATAAGGACTTGTTCTTGAAACTACTACAAGATCCTAATTCTGTACTAGTGAAGCAGATGCAAAACTTGGATGATGCTCAATTAGACGAAGACCAGAAACAGGGTTCTTTGATGGGATCTGGTTTGTCTAAGGAGAAGCTAATCAACTAGAAACCTAATGATCTTTCAGATCGTAAACACCGTAAATTCTTCCACAGAAAGAGCAAATCTCTTGAAAGCTACCCCACTGGAGGAAATAAAAATTGTCAATCTTCTAGTAAAATTGTCATCTTGAAGCCAGGACCAACAGGTTCACAAGATGGCAGTGAACATCAGACGTTCTTCCCCATTTTCTGGCGCCGACGTCAACAATTACGGTCGCCCACCACCACTACTACCTTCTACTCTTCATGGAGAACAAGATGCACATATGGGTCCTCATCAATTTCCCTTTAAAAAGCCAATTTCTGCAAATTTCGGCCGAAATTGGAGGTAGAACCGTGCACAGGGATTGGTTTTTGAACCTGAGATTCAATTCATTTTTGGTCGGTTTGGGCTGGGTGTTGGAATAGGATTGTAGATTGGAATGATGAGGTGTTGATGATGCAAAAATTCGGCGGGTTTAACCGGCGGTATGGTGGTCGAATTTCACAAAGAAGCCGTCGGCTCCACATGGATTAAACGGAGAAGATGAAAGTTGCCTGGACAAAAAAAAAAAAATTTGCAATTGAGGTCCTCCAATTCTATGTCCACGTGTTTTGGTGCTTTAGGTTTCAATTAAAACAGAAAAGTCCTAAAACTCACTTCAGTGACCATTTCTGAAATCGGGTAAAAGTTGAGTGACCATTTCTGCAAATTTTAAACTTCAATGACCGTTTTGTTATTTTCATATAACTTCAGTGACCATTTGTGAAATTAACCCAATTAACATTATTCAGAGATAAGGTTTGAGAATTTTAAGGATAAGAATTCAGAACGGATAACTGCAATTTCACGCTTTTCAAAAAAATGCACGAGCTTTCCACATTTACATGTGTTTACTGTGAGGACCATGCTACAAGTACATAATACATTACATAATTAGCATGTGGCGCACATTCATCGGTAGTTTACAATTTTTTATTTTTCCACACTTCACATCAACGGCCGGATTTATTTCACATGGGCCTATGTAATTCATTATGTACATATAGATTTATCCTTACTGTGAATTGCGATTTCTTTATATCTGTCAACAAATTTCCGATCATAACTGCACGTGCGGGCTATGCGCTTGGCACGCTCACGGCAGCAGCATTTTGGTGTAGCCGTACACCGCCGTCAAACTGTGCGGCGGTTAATGAACTTCGAGATTTGATGTCATTTTCACGTGATAGGGGACCTCTATCACGTGACAAAGTTATGGTCATGACCACTACCCACCATTCCTTCTCTCTTTAATCGTTTTTGAAAATTTTTAAGTTTACAAAATATGAATTCGTGAAAAAATAAGTTGACTTGAAATGGTAACGATCGAATGGATCAGATATATACTTTTATTTTCAATCTTTAATACGAACTAATGATATTTTATATTTTTTCGTGGAAACTTATCATTTTCATTAAGTCGGGGTTTGAATAATATATTATAACACGACTTCATTTTTATTATTTTAGTTTTTAAGTTCAATTTTGATTAGATTGCATCCTTTTATTTGTTCATTTATTTTTGCATTGGTATTCTTCGATGGAATTATAACGACATCATCGCTCCAATTTATAATATGAAGCGCTACATTATGAACAAAAATATTGTTAACATTTTTTTTCCAATTTCATTTCTTCCTCTATAACGACATAACTTATTCAAATATCTCAATTTTCAATATTTCATGTACATGAACATCTTTTGGAGTTTTACAATTT